GAGCCTGATACGGGTCTGACCAAGATTCAGCTGTTTCTTGATCTTGGAGCTTTGTGAACGGAGAAATCCCTGTCTCTTCCTGTGTATATGTGTGTGTGTGTATATATATATATATATATCTGTGTGTGTGTGTTTATATACATAGACAAGGGCCCAGAAGACACTCACCAGCGAGCCGTGACCAGTACGGTCGCCATGGTGATCACTGATGGTGTCAAGACCAAGAATCCATGCAAGAAGGGCAGACAACCCGACCAGTAGCACCGAGTTACTGAACTGTCCTTCGAGATGCTGAGGGTATACGTCTTGTAGGCTGTGCAGGAACGATGGGGAACTGGAGCAATTTTTCTGTGGGGTCTTCGTGAAGCCATTGAGTGGCGACTGGGTGTCAGCCTGGTTCAACCGAAACTTAAAATACGGCAGCTGGCTGAACGGGTGGCTGATGTGATGAGTCAGCTGCCAAGTGCTGTGAATGACTCGGGGCGTGGACGTGAGCTTTTCCTTCCGCATGGTGACGTCGAAAATGCTAGAGCTGGGAACCGTTACCTGACCATGACCGGCTAGGGAACACAACGAGGACTCACAAGACCCGCGCGCTGGATGCGGACGCATGCAATGCCAGTCTTGTGAGCGGCGAAGCTTTTCGGCCTTTGCTGCCATTGAGTGGGAACATGTGCCGCAAGCAGACGCAGTGCACTGCTGGAGGTCTGGATGCCGGAAGGGGGAGTGTAGCAACCAGTTCCCGTTGCAGTGTTTGTGCTGGGAACCAACAATGGAGTACCGGTGATCAAGACCATCTTCAAGCCTGCGCTTTGCATGCGATCGTATCTTTTTGGCAATGCCTGCTGTGCCTTCTGGCAGAGTCGTAATATCATCATGAACGATACTGTTCGGATCAGTCAGGTATCCTGACAGATGAATGACGTGAGGGCTCACTTAATTGTGCGAGGTTGGCCATAGTGCCATAGGAAGGCGCTCTGCAACACCTACATGCCGGATGATATCAGTGTTGTGTTTGATCGCGGCAAATTCACCCTGTCCGCATGCGGACGTGCGGGGCATTAAGCCTGTTTGGTGAATGGCTACATTGCGAGAGACACTTACGCGTCTGTCCTCTGCGTGACTGTCCAACAGTTTTGGCACTCCCTCAGCGTCAGGGCAAACTTCGCTACTGCAGTGCTTGTGGTTTTGACGGCAGGACCAGCTACACAGTGGAAGGCTTTTCGGTCGCGGTGCCACCTGTTACATCACTCTGCAGCTTCCTGCCTTGGCCCCGCCGCTCCGCTGATTTCTATTTCGGGTCCGGCTATAAGTAGGCTCGAGTACATACAAGGGGCAAGCCCTTCTAATTAGACTCAGTTTTGCATGCCAAGGGGGTGCGTCCAACCTGTGACTCTATGCTCGAAATGAGCGATATATAGAAAAAAGTATGCACACACACACACACGCACGCACGCACACAAGTGATCCTTTTCTGGAACCACCTTACACTACACTACATTATGTCATGGCTATAGTCTGGCACAGCGCTTGTTAAGAGACGGTCGCATGTAACTGATACACGTGATGATCCAGCAAAATGATGCTCAACTCATGATTCATATGTCCAGGTCTGTCTGCACGAGTCTTCCTCAACATCCTGAAAGACAGGACATATATAGAAAAAGTATGCACACACACACACACGCACACACAAGTGATCCTTCTCTGAAACCACCTTACACTACACTGCATTGTGTCATGGTTATAGTCTGGTACAGTGCTTGTTAAGAGACGGTCGCATGTAACTGATACAGTGATGATCCAGCAAAATAATGCTCAGCTCATGATTCGTATGTCCAGGTCTGTCTGCACGAGTCTCCCTCAATATCCTGAAAGCCAGGCCTTTTAGGTATCTGAGTGCTATTGGGCGCTGCGTTTGGCAAGCGGATGTTGAAACACTAGCTCCGAGTTGAGTGTAGCCCACTGCCACTGGCTAGAAAGCAAACCATCGCCACGAATAGCGCAAATAGTCTGAGAATATCTGAGAGCAACAGAGGATATTTCTAATATCCGGCCTTCTTGAGCTGTTGCGTTGGGCTGTGGCTGCTCATCTCTTCCGGGTGTGCCGTCGTCGTCGGAGCTGATCAGCTCATGCAAGGTGGCCGGCATCCTCGGCACAAGTGTCGGCAGCATTCTGTGGGCAAAATAAAACCGTCTTGGACGCCATAACCACCAAGAAAAACCGCTTTCTCTGCGCCGATGCATGAACCAAGCTTCGGAAGCTCTGCGTCCTCATGCTCCTCAATGAGGACCATCTGGCCTAGGCCCTTCCAGGACAAGCTAGGGGCTTGGGGTCCATCACCAGGCCCACTAAGTCACTAGGGATCGCTCTTCGACCCCAGAGCCGAGAAACTTGTCAGCGACGGGCTTTCATTACGGTGCGATCATGTCCTCGGTGCCAAATCCCACACTTAGCTCCGAGGCCGCGATGTCCAACTCTTCAAAGGAGATCATGCCACTCCCATCCGTGTCAGCCTGGCGCGTTTCGGCTCTTTGCTGCACCAGAGCTTCGATCCCTTCGAAATCGCCTGCAAACAAGTTCACAGCCCCTGGCAAGACACGGACCGGAATGGTCTAGAAGTGCAGTCGGCCCAGGTCAGGACGATTCAGCCAGCTCGGACTTTGGATTTGGACTCTCCACATTCGGACCACCCAAGCGAGCCGTCTACAGTTCGACCGTCCAAAAAGACATGGTCCGATCTCGACTCTCACAACTGGGACAAGGCCCAGGCGAGGCGTCTTACGAAGTTCCAACGGTTGAGAAGCAAGACTCAATTCAAGTCCTGATGCTAACTGGACAACCGATTTAAGGGTTCGGGCCTGAGGCTTCCGCGGGCTCTCTCAGACAATCAAAGTCGGATCAACAACGACATGCATCAAAGCTACTGGGATTACCATAAGCAAAAATGGTTATTGAACCCCATCAACACGACTATACATATACGTAGTAGGCGACAGTCCAAAGTAATGATAAACAGAAAGCCTAGCCTCCATAAAGAATCGTGCCCAGCTTGGTGGCCCATCCGACTGTCGCTTCTGAGCATGGGCCTCAGTGTGTTCACAACACCACCGTCACTCTCATAAGCCCTCATCAACACCTGCATTGGCATTTTCAACTTAAGCGTAAATGTTGGTCAATGTGAGCTTGCATGCGTGCACCCGCAGACATCTACACTGACAGACGCATGTTTGCACATCATGTGCATGCGATATGCCATGTGTTTTGGTTGCATTTGTACATGCATGCATGTCTATGTACATGTACGCATGTACCCAGTGGCGCCGGTACAAAGGCAGGCAGATACGCGGACATGCAGGTATGCACATATGCACTTATGCATGCACGCTTGGCTGGCTGGCTGACTACCTCGCTGAATGGATGGATGTACGTATTTGTATGTGCAGGTGGTGCTTAGATAAGATTCAGAACTCTGATAGCTGGAACTTCTGCTTGTCGGACCGATGAAGCGGATTCTGGTTAACTTTTGAAGAATTTGAGACTGCACGGAGGGAGCGGGGCAGGGAACAGACGCTTGACAGAAAGGCGCTTAAAGACGCGGGGAGGCTTGGTTCGAAAGCATGGGCAGAGGCTTGTCGCTTCCAGTATCTTTGTGCCCTACAGTCGGATAAAGAAATACAGAAACTTTCCAATTTGCTACTATGGATTTGGTTTGTGTATCTTGGGATCATAGGATCTAGATACTCGAGAAAATCAAGAAAAGAGCATCGCTTTCTTCTGTCATGCAACCCTTATTGTTCCATCGTGTCTCCTCTTTCATCTCGGAAGCTTCTCTATTGCTAACCAAGGGAGAAACTTCTGCCTATGCAGTTCTATTTGATATCCTGGGGTAGGACATTATGTGTATTTCGAAAACTATCCTGACCAACAAACACCCATTTATCAACCCGTCGATCCACTAATCCATCAACCCGTTGGCTGTTGACCCATTAACCCACTGACCCAACCCCATGCACTTCACGGGGTAAGGATGGCCTACACAACCCATCAACCCATTAGCCCAGCACGACGTCGTATCCCAAAAGCCCTCTGCAGCTTCCCCAATCAGGATGTCCTGCATGATTACATTTCACTGGCCAAAAGTTTCTGGATGAGTGGCCCACGGACAGCCTGAGTAAACCCCAAGTCAGTCCACTTGGCCAGAAGAAACGGCCAATGGTTCATTGGATTGACAGGTTGATGGGATAACTGATTCACACTTGAGCTGAACACAGACATCGAGACAAAGACAGAGCGAGACACCGGGCGATTTCTGTTTCATAATTATATTCGGCTTATGGTCAGCAACGTTACGATGACTTGGACACGGGCATATACAGACGCCGGGGGGCAGACATAGACACATACATGTACACCTATACATCTGCATATACATATGCAAATAAATTCGACTGAATTGTTGTGATATGCAGCCTTGGCGCGACCAAGGCTTTGTTCAGCTTTCGTGCCACTGCTTGCAAGGCGGGGTCCTGTCCACGCAAACGTACATAAAGACTTTGCTACGCATCAATACAAGTCAGTCCCTTGAACCAGAAAGCTGTGTGTCACAGCCTGTTGTCAAACTCGGCTTGTTGACCCTCTAAGCTCCTGGGGCAGATGCTGTGGCTTCTTGCGCTGGCCCTCCGAGAAGGAAGCGCTGCTGTTTGACCTGAAAGCACTTGGTGCCACTGTGGCAGGCGCCGGGGTGCAGCCACCGCGTTCTTTCTGCAAGGTGCTCTGGTGTGAGGATCTGACTGTTGGGAGGGCTGTTGCTGGAGCCGTCTTTTCGACGGCTGAACCACAGGAGATGCCTCTGCCAGGCTGCAGGAAGACATGCAACGGAAGCACTTAAAGCGCTTGAAGCATTCTTGCCTGGGATGACTTGGAGACCGTGGACTGTGTGGGCATGTCTTGTGTGCTTGAATGTGTCGGACGCGCTTCACTCTTTGGCGAAGCAGAGCCTGGTAGTGCCAGCCGAAGCTCAAAGCCCTTGTCAAATGCCCACAAGTCGAATTTTCTGGGTCCACTTGGGTGCAGGCTCATCGGCGGCAAAGCGTTCTTGCCATTGCCTTTTCGTGGCGCTCGGGCCGAGTACGCAGACGAGGCCTGAGCTGGTGCACGGACCCAACCCTATCAGGACCGAAGAGCTAACGGACCATCAACGTAGGCTGATGTGGCTGAGTGCCACGCAGGACGCTGATTGTCAGTGGCCTAAGAGAAACGGCAAAACTAAGTGCGATACTGGTCAACAGACGTCCAAGGCCGTCACCATGCGCCAGCGCACCTGTCAACTGTCAACATGCCATTTTCCGGAAACTTTCGCCGCAGGTACTTTGCAGCGCTTCCAATGCCCAGGGGAGCGGCATTCGCATTGCCTGCGCTCATTGGAGGGCAGACTGGCACCGAGGGATTGAGAAGAAAAGCACAGAAGAAGAGAAGAGACACGCAGCGAAACCGGCAGGCGGACAGACGGATGGACAGACAAGCGACAAAGACCCAGGGAGAGAGACCGAGGCATCAGTGACAAAGAAGTCGAGGCGGTAGTGGCGGTGGCGGCGGAGGTTGGCCGCGGTGGTGGTGGCGGTGCTGCTGGCAGCAGCTGCTGCTGCTGCTGCTGCTGCCGCTGCTGCTTGTGCTGGTGCTGGTGCTGGTTTCGGTGCTCACACTCGGACAAGTCAGGCGAGGCTATGGCCGATATGGCCGAGGTTATTGGGGCGTAGTTGGTTGAGGGGAGACACATCCAAGTTTGTGCTATAGATGTAGATGTATTTCTCTCTCTCTCTCTCTGTCTCTATATATATATGTATAGATAAATAAATAGATAGATAGATAAATAGATATGCATGTATGTATGTCTGTATGTATGTGGATATATATATACATACATACATACATACATACATACATACATACATATATATATATATATGTATGTATGTACTATAATATAATAGAATATAATATAGTATAATATAATATAGTATAAAACAATGTAATATAATGTAATATATCATGATATGATATCATATAATATATAGAATATAATATAATAACAAATATAATATCATATATAATATAAGATATAATAGAAAAGATAATATACAAATAATATCAGATATCATAAAATATGATACAAAATATAGCATAAAATATAATATAAAATAGAATATAAAATACAATATAACAAAATATACATATACATATACATTTACAGATCCATATACATATATATATATATTTATTTACAGATACATATACATATACATGTATTATAACATAATATGGTATAATATACTATGCTATACTAGGATAAAATACAATAAGATTATATTATAATAAAATATATACATATACATATACATATACGCAAAACTCAGGATCTCGAACAACTTCGGAGTCGAACTGTGTGTAGAGGCCTTGTTACCGATGCAGGGTCCAGATAAAGGCTCGGCACAGGGGTAGGCTGAAAGCTGGGTTGCCTAGATATTTAAGCAGAGTTTGGTGCTTCAGACGCTCGCAGCTTGGCGAACCGGTTCAGGCTTCTAGTCGGTTGCAGGTCATCACGTGCATTGCAAAACCAATTCGATGCCACAAATGCGGGATGAGACGCTAGCTACTCCTTAAGGGTTGAGGGGCTTTCGCCCCTCTCGCATGGCTAGGATCTATGCCCACGAGCGAGGTTGCTTCGGGAGATTAGAGCTGCAAGACTAAGATGCCAGTTAGACCGCCTTCGGCAGAGACACTGGTGGCTTTACCCAATCACAAAGTTGAAAACGAGACGTGCGGTGGAAAGGAAGTGCCTCTTGTTCATCACGCCTCTGTCAGCAAACCATCCTCATCAAGATTCAGCTTTTGAGCCAGGGTTCATAATTCCCATTGCGTGTTTATTCCAGAACGCACTAACACTTGTACCACCGCTTCGCAAGGATGCAGCAATGCAGGCTCAGATCTCTGCATATCTACACATTGGTACTTGTAATGTTTGAATCGTCATTTCATGGTCCAGGCTCTGACGCGTGCCCCGCAACAGCAATTCACTAGCAGCACCATCCACTTCAAAGCAGATCAGGGCCACAAATGGGATCAGGATGTAGCTCATCAGAATCCACGACTCGACAAAGGTTCATGTAACACCGTATCGTATCCAAAGCTGTTGAACAGAGTCATGCAGCACCGTGGCAGAACACAGGTTGTGCAACCCTCGTCTTGTCACTCAGACTTCGTAGAACTTCGTAGTTCATGAAGTCAGAAACCCATCACAACGCCGCCATTGACCAAAAGCACATTCAAGTCAGACAGCCATCCAAAAGCACATCGCCTGTTCCGAGGTTGGGGGCTTTTCTCAGTTTGGCTTCGTTCTCTCCTCTTGCTACATGGCCGCGTTTCGTCGATTCCTGTTTCGTTCTGTAGTTCTTTTCCCTCCTGTTCCGCTCAAGGCCCGAAACAATCCAAGAAACAAACAACTGTTGCTCTCCGACGGAGACGGCACCTGGCCCGCGTGCGCTCGCCTTGACGCAGTGCATCAGATGCACCAGGAGACATGTTCACAACACGAAATTTGGGAAGCAACAATAAACCCGAGGTAGTGAGCTCCCGACAACACCACTTACCGAATCTGGGCGGGTGGGATGGTCGTCTGGAGCTGTTTCTTCAGCAGTCGGTGCCTGAGCGGTTGATACCAATTTCGTCTAAACGAGGCCCAGCGTGAAGAAAGCATGCCAAGCCAAGCACCATGGTCATGCTTGACTTCGCACCTTGGCCACAATCTGGTCGACTCTGATCTAGACCATTGGGCCATCGTCATCTTCTTGGAATCATGCGCTGCTTCGGTCCGGCACTGTGATATGGGGGCCTAGGAGCAAATATGCAGCAATGTGCGGCTTCCAAAATTCCGACAACTTGCCGCGAGAGTGAGACTGTCTTTGCTCCAAGCGTTGGGGTGGATGTAGCAGTGCTTGGAGTGGATCCAGGCACGATGCGCGAGACCTCTTCCTGACATGTTCTACTGCTCTCAGCTGTTCCGCCTCTGCTCATGAAAAATGTCTCGGTTGCAGCTGAAGCTTGCCGGCTCCACATCCTCTTCATCGACCTAATTTGGAACGATGTCGACTTTGAGATCTGCTGCAGTACATCCCGAAAAGCTGCATCTCATCCCCATGTCGAGTCCCTGACAGCCACAGATAGCTTCGCCAATAGCTCGTCGTCTGCCCTGAGCACGTCAGGCGAACTTGTCCCAGTAACACGATGCCGGCGCAGGAACGCGAACAAATCGATGGCTGTCCTGCCTTGGTTACGAAAAGCTGAGAGCGCCGCAGCGTGTCCTTTGTCCGACTGACATGGCCCTGTGGTGTCCACTGCGTGACACGCTCCTGCACTGACTCCAAATCAAAACTGGCTATGCGTAGGGAACCCCCTTCAAGGCCTCCATACTCTCAGCGTAGACCGAGGGAAAGAGAGGCATGCATCACGGTTTCGCCTAGTCGGAACTTGTCTGCACGCTCGCTTTCTCAGCGAGCGTGCTGCTTTGAGTACTGCTGAGGGCTGAACCGGACAAGGCATCGCAGCAAGCACTGTCCTACATTGAATAGAACGGCCCACTGGCGTTGAAGCAAAAGTCGTCGTGGCAAGTACTGGTAGCAAGGATATCGCTACTGGTAAGCGGGAAAGAAGCCAACAAGCCGCGGCAAGCTCATTCAAATTGCACGCTTTTTTCAAGAGCGAACCTCCAGTAGGCACGAACCTCCGGCAGACACTACTCGGGCAACACCCTGTGTTACGGGATTTATCCCGCGGCCCTGCAACAAGTCAAGAGTCAAAGATAGTCAAAGCCTAAGAAGCCACACATCACATATCATCCTTCGAGCAACTTTTGTGATCATGGTGAAACGCGCGCGCAGTACGCTGCGGAGCAGCCGTCACTTGGTGATGCTGCATGGTACCTTAAAACCCGAAAATGGACTGACGACGCCTGGTGGTAGCATTGGCATCTCCGGCTTTGCCAACTAAGGTTGCCGTGTCTTGCCGCAGCTCCGCGAGGTCTTCACTCAAGTGCTCCAACAGCCTGAAGACTGCTTTTGTGGCCAAGAGTGTCGCCACGGTGTCCGTCTTCCTCAGATCTCCACGAACTTTGAGGAAGCCCTGCACCAACTCCGCCACGTGCAATGTGCCACTGCCATCCGCATCCAGCGCCTCAAAGAGGTTTGCGCGATCGGGTGGCAGGTCCAAGTCATCCATCAGACGCTGCACCTGTCGATCCTCTGCGAACGAGAATCTCTGCGAATTCGTGAATCTTCTCCCAATCAATCACGCGTTACATTACGCCTACGTCCCCAAACACTAGAGGCCGTCCTGAACAACTGTCAGAAAGAGCTCCTTGCTGATCTCAATATGATCATCGTCCTCCTCAGCCAATCCCGGGCTGGCGGCCAGTCTGGCCGAACTCACATGAGGCGACAGATCCTCATGATGCAAGGCCCCATCGCTGGCACAAGCGATCACAACTGTCAAACAGTCTTCTGAGCTCCGGACTTCACTATACTCGGCTGGGACCATCACCTTCTCGTGGCGATAAGCTTTGGTGAATTTCCTTGGTGGTATCTGGATAGGTCTTGCGATAAGCTGCTTTACACCGAGGATGGGCATCCTGGAGCAGGCCTGGAACCTGCTTTTGCTCTGGGCCTGGTGTGAGCAAGGCCTGGGCGGCCTGGACCCTTTCTTTGGCGCCAACTCCGGCAGCGTGTGCTGCCACAAGCTGTAGGCCAGTGGCTTGTCTCTGCATGACTACCAACATCCAACAGCAGGGTTGGCTCCACCAAGGACTTCTCTTCAAGGGCTCTAGATCAGGACCTGCGAGCACTCCCAAATTCCGAGATGTGGAGCAGCTCCATCTCTAATTGCCAGCTCTTTTCAGGTCAATGCGGGAGCATGTTTCTGGATCATGATTCGACCCCTGCAGGGGTGTTGCCGGTGGACACTCTGCTTCTCCCTATGTTCCTCGAATTAAACTTCTAACCGGAAGATACCGAAAGCCAGCGAAGATCACTGCCTAACGGTGGCGGCAACAAGCCACAGTGACCGAAAACACTGATTTCTAGAGGATCGACTGCCAGGTGAGCCTGATAGCTCCAGAGATTGGACACAACACAGTCCTACACGCGCATTACTCAGAAAAGGCCTATTGAGCAAAGCGTCTTCACCAGCTCCCTGGTAAGCCTGGCCACCCGGATGGACTCCCGCTCATGCTGCTCTGCGTTCAGCTCATTCTCTCGGGCCGCCTGTCAGCTGGAGGAGGGTTTGTGATTGACATTGAGTTGAGCTTTGGGTGTCTTGACATGTGGACTACAAACATAACTGCTGAAGCACCAGGGCGGTTGTGGCCATGAAGGTGTTGTTGTGCATCCTGGCTCTGCTGCCACCCCACTTACAGGTCGATGTTCGGGGAGAGGGGATAAGCCAGATGAATAGCCCGAGCGTACCACCAAAGCTTGTCAAACTTCAATAGACTCAATAGACCCGACACGAACTTGCCTGCTTCACTGAGGTGCGGGGCGTCTGATGCAAGGCATGCTTCGTTCCATCTTTGTCCATTCGAGCTGAGTATTTGTTTTTCTGACATGAGAACTGGCCGCCCCCTGCCGACCGCAAATAATAAGTCATGCAGGAGTTCAACATATGCAATGCTGAAACGTCAGTTAAGGTCTTTCGACACACACACACACTCGCACAAGCCTGGCATGGCCTTAGAGGTTTGAGCTTAAGGTCTTTAAGTCTTAAGCAACATGACGAACAGCATCATGATGGATTTCCAGCACAGCCTTCATGGTGATGTCCACGTAAACAGCCAGTATCACGTTGAAAATACCTCGGAAGTAAAAATGCAGCGTATTCAGGACATGAATGCAAGCTGTTCATTCCTTGTTCAAGGATCAATGCATCGGGCCGGTCTACATACGGCACTGAAGTATCTGGTGGAGGTGTACAACGGTGTCTACATATTCCATAGCTTTGCGGCAACAACCTTATCCAAGAGAGCCTTGTCATGCAGCAGGCTACGATTGCAGCAGCAATAAAACGTGTCAGAAGGGATGGCTCCCCGCAGAAGAAACACAAACCGTGCGATTTCCTGTTATCCTGCCTTCCCACTCAAGCCGAGAAGCCCAGAGTGATGAGCATGTAGCATGCAATGTAGCTCCCGGTGAAAATCAGCCCGAATCGAGTTGCAAGGATAGGAGCCAGCGGTTCTCCTTGCAACACACTTCACAGGCTGTTTACAGATGACCTGATAAAAGCATCTGGATACATGCATGCGTTTGTATATGCATATGGTAACTGTTGGTGGGGTTCCACGGCTGTTGATGGCTCCGAAAAGGCAGAGCTGTAATCCTGCTGCTGACTACCAGGCTCCATTTTGCCCCGCTTTCTTTGTCGCTCAGGTCTGCATCGCGCCATGTCCATGCTGCCAACCCATCCATCGACCAGTGTATCCATGCCCGAACCATGATAACGTGGTCAATGCTACCCATTGACCAGCGCATCCATGCCCAAACCATAATAACGCCCATGCTACCAACCCATCCATTGGCCCGTGCATCCATGCCCAAGCCATTTATCAACAAATGCTTCCGCGCAGAAACATCGTTGATGTTGATCATGCGACATTATCGGCCCTGCCCTGCTTTCCAACACTGTTCGAAGCCGGTGCGAAAGAAAACACATCGCGCGGAACATTGCCTTAAGCCTCCATCCCGTCCTGCCACTGCACTTCCCTGTCAAAATCAAGCAACTCGGACGTGCAGCAACATCGAGTTTTGCTCCGCTGACGGGGACACCCTGTTCAACAATGCTAACATGCGAAAGTATGGGCCCTGCCATGCTGTTCAGACTTTGTTCGAAGACAAACTGGAGCAAACGACGGTGATGGACCCTACTACAAGTGCGGGGAGTAACGGGGGCCGGTTGTGGTAGTAACGGCAACCGCTCCCGCTCACTGTAACCGAAACCGCGGCCGTAGTAACAGCAATCCAGGGGCCGGCGTAACAGGAACACGACAGGCACTGGAACTGCCAACGGAAACCAGGAAGGAGCAGGCCGGAGGCTTCTATGCTCGCACAGTCGAGGACCGAAAACCGGTCCCCCCACTTGCAGGCCTGAAGTAGAAGACATTGACATATTAATTAAGACATTCGATGCATTGGGACACGCACACGCTCACATGTGTTTGTTGCTACATGGATACTGAGTAGGTACACACAACCAATCTTCAATTCTGCTTCTCACATACAGGCTGAAGCTGACAGACAAGCAGGCTGATAGGCTGATAGCCGTAAGAGCATGTCCAGTTGCTTTAGTTTCATAGGTTCGGACTGATGCATGAAGGATTGAACTCGTTGCACTCTTTCATTTGTCTTCATACGTACGAATTTGTTTGTCATGAAGGTGAAGTCCCTCTCTCTCTCTCCCAGGCATTCGATACGTCAAGCCTGATGGAAGGGCTGCACTTGCGGCAGTACGTGAAACAACAATCGGAATGCGAAGAGTTCAGAGCCCCAGAATCCGATGAGCCACTGCTTCATCCACGACTTCCACAAAGTGAAGTCCCTAAACCCCTAAACCCCAAACCCTAACGAATGGCAAGAGGTAGTGCCGCTACTTGACAAATGTCATGCAGGGCTAGAAGCTTCTATGTCCGCAGCAACCTTCATCGATGAAGTCTAATTCTGCAGTTGACAACGTCTTGGCTAGCCGAATAAGTACTGGAATGTCTAGCTTTCGACAAGATTGATAGGTCTGAGAGGACCGAAAAGCCAAAGCGACAACCTGTTCCCGTTACGGCAAACCCCCACGCACCCTACTACTAGTACTACTACCACTGCTACTGTTAGCAGCAGGAAGCAGGTCTGCAGTGGTCGTGAACAGTGTCATTGTTGCAGCAGGAAGCACAAGAGGAGAGCAGCACTACTCCTCCTACGACTACGACGACTACTACTACGACGACGACTAGTACTACTACTGCTAGTACTACTACTACTACTACTACTGCTACTACTACTACTACTACTGCTACTGCTACTGCTACTGCTACTACTACTACCACTACGACGACGACGACGACGACGACGCCTACTACTACTACTACTACTACCACTCCTACTCATGCTACTAGTACTAGTGTTAGTACTACTACCGCTACTATTGCTACTGCTACTACTACTACTACTACTACTACGACGACGACTACGACTACGACTACGACTACGACTAGTACTAGTACTAGTACTAGTACTACTACTACTACTACTACTACTACTAC